TCTTTCTGTTTCCTTCTTTTTTCGCCTGAAAAGACGTTTCTCTTCCCTTCTCTTTTGCCGATATCGCTCTTTAACAGCGCGCGTCGCAACTGACCGCAGGGTGGCTTGATATGCTGCGTCTTTCTCTGCGGTAGCATTGCGACACTCTTGGTCGTACCAGCTGTTTCTTTGTATACGGTGATAGCCGATCACCTCTTCTGCAGCGGTACGCATAGAGTTGGAGATGTGGTTCCATTGCGCGCATATATCGGCTTCTTCAGATGAATTTTCCAGATATTGGGAGAGTCGAGTAGCGAAGTCATTAGCTGTCTGTTGTGATTGCAGCTTTTCGACGTCTAGCTTTCGCTGTGCTTGTTCACGTACCTTTTTCATCGCACATAAACGTGTGCGGATCTTGGCTGCAACAAGGTAATGATCCGAGTCGATGTTGGCTCCTCGGATAGTACGTACATCCAAGACACTGGAAGCATGCCTTCTGTCTATCACAACGTGATCAATTTGAGATCTTGTGTTTTGATCAGGTGACAGCCATGTTGCCTTATGTATGTTGAGATGCTGGAATCTGGTACTACTAACCACCATGTTTCTAGCCGCGGCGAAATCAATCAGCCTTCTTCCATTATCAGAAGTTTTCGTGTGAAGGCTGAACTTTCCGACAGTAGCACCAAAGATACCTTCTTGCGTTGAAGTCTCCAACAACGATTTTGATGTCATGATGGGGACAGCGTTCATATGCTTGTTCAAGCTGTTCATAGAAAATTTCCTTGGTGTCGTCATCTTTATCTTCCGTCGGGGCATGCGCACATATTAGAGTGATAAAGAAAAATTTTGCCTTAATCCGGATTTTTGCGAGCCTTTCGTTTATTGGTGTAAACGTTGAGACCAAATTTCTCAGCTTTTGGCTTACCGCAAATCCGACTCCAAACTCGTGCTTTGTTGCATGGCAGCTGTAGTAGATGTCACAATGTTCTCGTTTAGAGCATCCTTGTCCCGTCCATCGCATTTCCTGGAGAGCGGTAATGTCAGCCTTATATTCCTTGAGGACATTAACCAGCTGTATAGATGCACCTTCTTTGTAAAGAGTTCGGACATTTCAGGTGCATATTTTTAAATCGTGTTCCTTAATACGTTTGCGTTTGTCGTCATCAGTAGATCGTTTCCTTATCCGAGGCTGCCTCTTCGTTTGCATTGAAAGAATTTTTTAAATGGTGGGTTCCAAGCCCGACGCATAACCTCATATATCCCTGAGGTGGATTTCGCTGCACACATTAGTTCACTACGCACGGATGATTGTAGCTATCCAGAGGGGCCACGTGGAGGCTGTGTGTCAACTTGGAGAGAACAGTGACAAGGATCGCGCTGGCATTTACCATGTTAAATGCAATCAGACACTTTACCTTGTATGTTCAATCCCATCCCCCCCATATATATATATATATATAAACACAACTACAAAAATGTTAAGTTACTTTAAATCGATTGGGTAAGAAAATTTGACAGACCGAGAGTAAATCTGAATCCATATTTACCAATCGAAAATGCCATTAATATAATGCAACATAAAAAAAAATGTAAGCTAATAGTTAATATTTAAACTAAAAATTCAAATAAAAACAAATATAAAATAATATATAATATAATAATAATACACCTGAACATTTGAACTTTGATCTGTTCATACCCGTGTCAATTAAATAAAATAAGTAATAAAAATAATACTGAAATAAAATATTAAAAACTTTGTTTAACAATAATAAAATGGTTTGATTATTAATAAAAATCTTATTAATTAAAAATAATGAATTGAATGCTTTCAAAAAACAATAACAACAACAAAACTGAAAAGTTTCGATAAAAATGCAACCAAATTAAATTGGAAACCAACACCTCACATCTTCATTTCGTGTCGGCTTGAGCTTAAGCACTTGATTTAATGCCATCACTCTTCATAGTTTCCATATGAAATTTTATTCTGGAACTATAATTCTGGCATGACTTGATATTTATAATCCATCTATTGACAATTACGTGCGTTGGTAAGCAGGATCGTTCATTGATGTACCATCAAAATGACATTTGGACTAATAGAATCGAAGTTATTACGTGTAAGGCAGCAATATCTTTGTAGTATCATTGCATAAATTAGGAAAGAACGTATTTTCTCAAAGTGAGTAAAACTTTTGCCGAAACTAATTAATTTACGTCCTAACTTAATAGTGATGATTATTGATGGCAAAGTTCATTTGTAGTATTGGCTACTTAAATTTGGACGAAAAGTCATGCATATTGAACAATATGCGACTTCTTCTTTTTTGGAAATATGCATTTGTCAACGAAAGGAATGTGTTTTGTGGGTGTAGGAGTCACTCAAAATGTTCGAACATATATTGTAAAGCAATGTCACTTCAAATACAATTACTTTGCAGTTATTCTGACAGAGGTCATATAATTTAGACAATAAATCACTACAAATAACTATTACTAAAAGTTTTTGTTTAATTTCGAACACTAATTTTATGGTTAATTCTGTAAATCACAGTAGGATTTAGACTTCACAAAAGTAGTCGGCATCACGTGAAACGGAAAAAGAAATCAAATATTAGCTGGTATAATATTTACACCCTTTAAGAGTACTTCATGGAGACAATAATATTATAAAAATAGTGTTAATGAAATAATTAAAATTAAAAAAAAAAGGATTTGCAAAATTTCGACTATTCAAAGAATCATGTCAATACGTTTTATGAAAGTGGTTCAGACTAAAGCGTAAATGTCCAACATAAGCAAAGAACAAAAAAAAATTAATTATCGAAAACAAATTTAATCGCCTTTAAAGTAGTCCACATCATAATATAATCCTGCTCCATATTTTCATAGGCCGTTTTAGAAATGTCCTAGCAGTATTGCTAATTTTCTTTTATAGCCGCAGTTGGTTCAGAACAGTGTGATGTAAATAGTGATAGTGAAATAGTTTATACGCGTGATTTACAAATTATGAATTTATAGATACGTTTTCCAAGAACAGAGATATATATACACTTTATATCCACGCTTATATTTCTTAAATTTCACCCATTGCTTAAAGAAGAAATGTGTGATGCGCATTTCTCAAATTATATATTTCGGATATTTTATATACCAAATGGTGTATGTATAAACTATATTCAAATTTTTTTTTTAAGGAAAGTTCTATTGTCTGCAATCTCTTCCGGGCAGATGGAAAGAGTCCGTTTGGTCAAGCGCAAGCTCCTTCGCCAATTAGAAGCGCAATTCTGACGGCAAGCACTTTTTCAACTTCTTCTTTCAGAATGTACCTCACCCGGTTACATAACCACCCACCTGATATCTCAGCCCCCAGCACCTTTCCTGCGGAATTCGTTCATGCCACAAATCTCCCCAATACCTACCCCTTTACCTCGATGAGTGGGATTTTGATCCGTCCATCATCGGTCACCAACTCTACCGTTATTATCCCCGCGCTTGCGCAATAACCACACCTCCTTCACTAACATCAAGCGTTTTGCTCTAACATCTCCCCCTTGATTACTGAAATCGCGTTGCATCCGCTGCACGAGGTTGATATCTTCCATATGTATTCCTAAGAGGACGTTTTAGTGAGTTTAAGTCTCACATTATGGCTTTCGATGCTTTCTACCTACGGCAAACAAAACAAGAAAAAAAAATCTTTATGAGATACAGATTTGTAGCAAATTGTTAGTTTACATTTAGTTTTCTGAATAAGCTTATAGTATATCAATTTATATAGAATGATATATATAGATTGAAACTGGATATATAAAGAAAACTAATAATTATAATTAGGTAAATAATTAAGACAGATTAAAATATGTAGAGGTTACATTTTATGTACACATAATTTTTTACTTCATATATTATAACAGATCGGATTCTTAAAATACTGTTAATATATATATATATATATAATATATTATATATATATTATTATAATATATATATATATATTTATTGTTATTATCAGATCTATAGATGAAAATTACATAAGCTTACTTTGAATTGCTATATATTAATTTGAATTATATATATATTTATATATATTGCGGACGTGTGCGAGTTCGAGTAAATTGAGGTAAAGTAAATTGAAATTTCCTAGAAATTTTTTCCACTGCACCTATGTAAATATTTATTTATTTATTTTTTGCATTTATTTATTATTTTTGTTCGATTCTTGGTACTTGCAGTCTCAAAAATAATTATTTACGAATAATTAAATATAAGAATTGTTTCCAAGACCACTGATGAAGGGTATTTGGCAATACTCGAAACAGTTGTATGGTCAGCCAAAAATTCAATTAATTAAAATAATTTAAAAAATAAATTCTTGTTCTTGTTTCACTTCTGTCCGAAAACCTCTTTATTTATTATTTTTGATTAAAAGTTTTTAAATTTATTTATTTATATATTAAACATCTTTAAAACTTTTCACAATGGTAACACCTAATTTACCTAATTTTCACCCTACTCAAAATTTTAGTAACTACCAACATTCGCTGCCATACCGACAAAATTTACTATTTCCCTCAATTTACCATCAATTTACTCGAACTTGCACACTGCCTACATATATAATTTACTTTAAAATATTTTTAACTCAGTCTACAAATTTCAATTTTTTGTCCCGATGATAAGATATTAATCTATAATTCAGTAAACCTAAAACATATACAGGATCCTGTCTGAGGTTATAATATACATATATATGACATTCGTATCCTTATGCTGTTTTGTTTTTTCACTACAGTACCGTAATACGTCTGTATTGAATTATAGACTTTTTTAATTATTATTCGTTTAATTGTTCTCAATATGAAATCTATACGAAATTTACGTTCCACAAAATTTTGTTTTTCATGAAAAATGCAACTCATTTTTAGCTGCCGGCAACACTTTTTAAAATTAAGATCTAAAAACAATATTTGTCTCATTTTACTACAAACATATTGCGCTATTTATTGAGGTGAAAAAGAGTAAACCATTTCTTAGGGCAGACAGCAATATTTGATTTCATTGAAAAATCAAGACATATTAGACACTCCAAGAAATAAGAATAAAAAATTAAGACAAAATTGGGCAATTACATCCGCCCATTAAGGAAATTTATTGAAAGGGTTTTGCCGTCGTGTTAGTGATAATATTTTGTGGGAATATTAGAAAGTTGATTGGTGACTACTGGCTATCAGCGAATCCAGTCAAAAAGTGGAGGTAGGTAGGACGGTAAGATGGCGACGAGTCGGACTACGCGGATTCAACAATCAAAAAATATAAGCTCAATTTTCTCGAAGCTGCATGGTGCCTTTTCAGAGGCGTGTGGGCCACAACGTTTGTCAACAGATAAAAAAACATTAGAAAAAACATGGAAACTCATGGACAAAGTGGTAAAGTTGTGCCAACAACCAAAGATGAATCTGAAGAACAGTCCTCCCTTCATACTGGATATACTACCAGATACGTATCAACGTTTAAGGCTCATTTACTCGAAAAATGAGGATCAAATGCACATACTGCATTCGAATGAGCACTTTAACGTCTTCATTAATAATCTGATGCGCAAATGCAAACAGGCAATCAAATTATTTAAGGAAGGCAAGGAAAAAATGTTTGATGAAAGCTCACACTACCGACGTAACCTCACTAAACTTAGTCTAGTATTTTCGCACATGTTAAGCGAGTTAAAAGCCATATTCCCAAATGGAGTCTTTGCAGGTGATCAGTTCCGAATTACTAAGGCTGATGCAGCCGATTTTTGGAGACATAATTTTGGCAATAGGTAATTTACTATCAATATACATTGACCTTCAACTTAATCCTTGACAGTTTAACTAATGATATTGATAATGAAATTGAATTTGCAGCACTTTGGTACCATGGAAAATATTTAGGCAGGAATTAAATAGAGTGCACCCAATATCCTCCGGTTTAGAAGCTATGGCATTAAAAACAACAATTGATCTAACGTGCAATGATTATATTTCAAACTTTGAGTTTGATGTTTTTACACGACTGTTTCAGCCTTGGGCTACACTTTTACGTAACTGGCAAATATTAGCTGTTACACATCCTGGTTATGTGGCGTTTTTAACATATGACGAGGTGAAAGCTCGACTACAACGGTACATACACAAAGCAGGAAGTTATGTGTTTAGGTATGTTTATATTCAATTCAGTGAAATATTGTGTATTTGTATTTATGTATATTATAATATAGATTATCATGCACGCGACTTGGGCAATGGGCTATTGGATATGTGACTGCTGATGGTGAGATATTACAGACGATACCACAGAATAAGTCATTGTGTCAAGCATTGTTGGATGGGCACAGGTAAAGCAATTTTAAGTTTTACACATATATATATTGAATATAATGGTGTATTGTATGTTTGCATTTATAGGGAAGGTTTTTACTTATTTCCTGACGGCCAGCCTAACAATCCAGACTTATCATCAGCTGTACAAAGTCCTACAGAAGACCACATAACAGTTACACAAGAGCAATATGAATTGTACTGTGAAATGGGTATGTTAATTAAATACTAATAAATAACAATATGTTAACTAAGATATATCTTATTGTACGTTGCAGGCAGCACATTTCAACTATGTAAGATTTGTGCAGAAAATGACAAAGATATTCGAATTGAGCCTTGCGGGCATTTATTATGTACGCCGTGTCTAACTTCCTGGCAAGTGGATTCAGAGGGACAAGTTAGTTTATAATATTACATTAAATGCTTTAGAAATATAAATAAATTAAAATTTTGTAATTTTTTTAAGGGTTGTCCGTTTTGTAGAGCAGAAATAAAAGGTACGGAACAAATTGTTGTGGACGCTTTTGACCCTAGAAAGCAGCATAATCGCAATTCCACAAATGGGCGACATCAAAATAATGACGACGATGATACCGAGGTATAGTTTGTTGCATAATAAGATCGCTTCGAACGATCGCAACGATTTAAAGTTCAAATAATAGCGATCAGACAGCATTAGTTACTGCATAAATATTAGCAAATTTCAATTTATTCAAACATACTCACTAAAAGTATTTTTAAGTATGCCCCGCTCAGATTCACGTCAAGCTTATTTTATGCTCATGATGCTTATAAGAAATTTAGTTTACTTAAATAGTTGAAATTTAAAAAATTTTCTTTCGTTATAACTTTTCTTGTGTATTTAAAAAAAAAAAACAAGAAATGCAAACACTGCGCTTTTAAATTTAAAGTGCAGAAAATCATAGCTTAGAAGCTGTTTTTAAGCAAATGCATTTGAGCAGAATGCTTGCAGACTATATGTATTATATGTGGGGCTATTTTCTGTACATAGATTCTAAATCAACATATTTATTTTGTTTCGTTTAGTTTGATAAAAACAAAAACTTATCTATAGTTTATGATAAATTATTAAATTTATGTAAAATTCTTAAACTATAATTTTTTATACGCAATTTTTATTTACATACTAGGTTAACATAATTTACATACATACATCTGTAGTCTGTTTCATCAAATACTCGTAAAGGAAACAAAGTATTTATTGTGCTTGTCAAAAATAGTGTAAAACAGTTTAACTAAAATGATTGGTACTGAGGAATATATAAGTATTTATGTGAAGTTATATAGTAATGTTCTCAGAATAAAATATTGTTTGATTTATTTCTTTAATCAATATATACAAAGCATTTATAGTTCAAGTTACATAAAGTATTTACTTATAATTATTGCATTTAATCAACTACATAAATAGTTTGTTTTCTTGCAACAGACTGCAGGTGTTCATCAATAGTGGCATGTTTTTAGTATATTTTAAAATTTCCAAAGATTAATTAACTATTAATTTAGTAGCATTCATGTGTCTCAAATCCTTTATTTACATATATATTCTTTTGGTACTTTTATTCTAAAAGAGATTCTTAATTAATTTAATTTTATTTATTTTAAATTTTCGTTAATGCGTTACAGTTAAAGTTGGAAACGAGTGATTCTATAGAATTGCTTGTAAGTTTCTGTAAATATCAAAATGTTTTATAATTTGTTTAATAGCTTAAGTGTTACACTTTTAGCTTCATTACACACTACACTCTAAACACGTTATACAAAGTAGAAATTTTTGTGTATAAATAGTTGATAGATATTTTGCGTCAAATCGGAATTGTGTTTTTATTGTGTTCATTATTTATTTGTACTATGAATTACTATATTTAGGATTTTTAAATTATAATTCATTAGCCATAAATTTTTATTTTTCACAATTTAAAAATTATATATCAAATTAAACATCATAGGGAGACAATATTTTTAGATGGAGTTAGAAAGAATATGTTAATTAAACAACTAACTTAATAACTTTTATTTACATTAATTTCATTGAAATTGATTGGGGATATATCTGCTATCCCAAATATGCCCATGTCCATGAAAATGTATTGATTTAGTTTAGAGTAGTTGTGAGTTCAATTTTCCAAATGGTTATTTTTTTGAAAAAGCTTATGTGAATAATATATAAAATTGTAAATTAGTTTTTATTTTTATGTAATCCTCTATATAAACATCCCTGCAGTTTCGGTGTTTGTTTGACCTCTTCTTCAAGAAGGAGTAGAACTGCTCTTAGAAACATATAAAGCGGTTATTTATAATGGAATTTGTTTACACATTCAATTTTAGATAATAAACAATAAATTAAATACTATGCAATATGTAAACAATATACAAAAAAAGAAAAATGGTGTTGATAGGTATAGAACAGCTACAGGTTACTACTACAACCTTTATTGTATATCTCACTTTAGTTTTGGATTTATAAGTAGACATGTAGATTAGGATGAATATTAAAAAATTAATATTTGTTATTCCATATGCCAGATATTACCAAGAGAGCAATATTGTCGTTAGCAGAAAAATTAATCGCCCTAGTAGACCTACATCGGTTAAATATGAAATACATTATAATTGTTAGGTGCCAAATAAAGCTATCATATTCTTATAATGTAATGGTTTAGAACAGAAAAGAAATTTAATAGTGTCTTCCTCTGTCCCGTTATTGTTGTTGTAGGTCGTAGAGTTCTATCAAGCAGATAACATGATACGCATTACAAAGACGTATGCACGGGTTGGGATGTCAGTAGATGTCCTCTACAGCTTCTACAGATAATATAGGATGATGGCATCTGTAAGGATTGAATTATTTCTTTTATGTGAAAAAAGTTCCTTTCATGTTTGAATTAATTACAAGATAATAAACTCTTGAGTTATTGATTGTTGAGTGAATAATTAAATTCCAATTTTCACTTCACAGTAACTTCAATTAACTTTTTAGCTAATTCATAATATGCTCCTATTTTTATCAAAGTCAAATTATTGTTGTATTGTATATCAAAGGATTAGATCCATTCAAAAGTGATCCATTAAATCTTTTTTTCTATGTCATAATTTTTTGCATATAATGCAATTCAATTTAATTAAAATTATTTAAGGAATTTAATATTGTTGATTCCCTTTTAACCCACAGTTGCTTATTAATTACTTACTGACTTACTTACTTTCTTAAGACTTTCTATCAGAACTATTTAGATTAAGCTCAACAATTGTGTCTGATTGAAAGCACTGATAATGTGCTCTCATTATTTTACAGATTTACTAAATAATGTTCTATTCCGATTTTTGTATAAAGAAGATTTTTGATATTTTAATGTGCTCAAATTTTTCAAGTTTTATCTTCTAAATGTGTTATAAATGCCAAGATAATTATTCCTTTAATAAGAAAAAGTTGTCAGTGACAGTTATTGCCAATTAAAATTGGCTTTACGAAGTGCTAATTTAAACTCGTAAATGGTGTTATTTAATATAATATAAATCGGTCTAGATCTGTGACTTCATTATTTAAAATGATCTAGGTTTTGTGAATAGTTTCTGGTTAATCTTTTCCCTACTTGTTAAGAGATATATTAATTGGTTTATCAAAAGAATTGTAAACTCATTCCAAAATTGGGTTTATAATTTAAAAATTTTTTCTGTTTATATGTCACAACTATGTTATAGTCGCATAGGTGTTTATATTAATATAAGATATGAATACAACATCAGATTATCATTTGCTACACTAGTGATTATCATCTTATCTCTTTTGCGGACTTAATAAGAGAATACAAAAGCCTTAGAAATGTCTTATTGCGCTTCCTATAAGTGGTTGATAGTAACTCTAACTTAATCGCCTCTGTTTCCATTTGAATCAAACTTCTCTCTTTACTGTTCCCATGATTCTTTCTATCACATTACACTTAATTCATAATTTAGATAAGTCAACAGAATGGATGTCGAATTTTAACTGTAACGTAAGGACAATTATAATGCAAAAAAAAAAAAATATGATAGTAATTTGCGTAACGCAAATGTAACCATTAGAATGGCTTAAATTAACATAAGACTGTGTAATAGTACATATACATATAAATATATATATATATATATAAATTTAAAAATACAATTATATAAAATAACTGCTATGTATAATTATATATACATGTATACAAAAAAGTTTGGGTCTCCCAATTTATAAAACTGACCTTATCAGGTCTTTTATATTATTAGTTTCAATTGTTGCTGCTTTTATTGCGGCAACGTCTAAATGTACAAGAATTTATTTTAATAAATTTATTTAGTTTATGTGCGGTGGGCCCCGCTCTCTTATCGGGCTCTTCGTGAAGATAAAAACGAAGGCAAAAACAAAAGCAATTCAACACTTAACCCCAGTGTTGCCTCATAGGGAAAAAATGTTTCTTTTTTTTAGTTGAGAAGCTTAGCGTTCATTGTTGTGAATATGATTTCATGCTTTAAGTTTAGTTAAAAATTAACAAAATTTTAATTTTTTAGTGTTTAATAAAAATTTTAAATAAATTCTGTATTATTTTATTTTAATTTTTAATTTAATGTTATAGAAATTATGCTTTTCATGTTTAATTTTAATTGAATAAAAATAAAAAATGTCTATTATTACGTTAATATTTATATACATATAAACAATTTAATAAATTATATTAATTATGCAAAAATTGTCTTATGATTTCTTAGTGATTTCTTGTCAAGTACCTCTTTCCGTTGCATGTGACTTTTGTTTGGCATGTGCTACTTTGCTACTTGAAACTGCATTATTTAACTCTTCGTTTCCTTTTTGTTTTGTGTTGATAATTATTGCTACCTTGTTTTGTTATTTTTTTCTTTTTTTCACAGTTTAAAACATTGATTTGCATAAACCTCAATCGTTGAACCCAAATATAAATTACAAAAACCAATTAAATTTTATTAAATCTGTTTTGAAAAAACAAATCGTACAAATTTCTCTCTACGTGCTTTCTTTCTACCTTCTTTTTTGCAAAAAAAAAACAAAAAATCCGAAAACTGCTTGCAGGACGCCGGAGAATTCAACATTGCTACGTCATCTTTACATGCGCTTAGTAACAGTATGACATCTTCGGCACATTCCTCAGAGAAGCACAGTCCACACACTTCACCGCGTTTCGCCAGACGCAGCACGACGCCTAGTCTAATGGCTGTTCAAAATGATCTCTATGTAGGCGCTGTACCTACCTTAACATTGGTTAACACATGCACTACACCACAACCGACAGCACCACCTTTAAATGGTAATACGAACGTAATAAGTGCGGCCCAGAAAAACTCCAATCGCATGAGTGCTCCTCTTATAGGTTCCAACACAAGTAGTTATGTACAAAAAATACCTGGTAAATCTGAACACAACGACAATTCGAACTCATCTTATGCAATCCTGCAAAATCTGCAAGAAAATCAAAGTCAATCTTCAGCCTTTAATCCACAAGATGCACCACCATTACCACCGCGTAAATCGACATCACCAGCAGCTGAACAAACCGTACCGACTACTGTGCTTAATGGTGCCATTAATAAAACATATGGTACACAAGGCGTTAGCAACAATCAGCCTCCTCCTCCTCCTCCCACTAGCAAAAGTGTAGAGAATCTAACTGCACATTTGGAAATCACAGTACCCAAAACTACAGCGCCACCTATACCAGCGCATAATAGTGGTCCACATGTTGATACCATTGTAGAGGAATTACGTTCTCAACGCTTAACAAGTAATTCCATATCACTTCTCGACGAAGACATAGTGGGTCCAGCGGAAACAATTATGGGTGTCATTGATACTAGACCACTTGAGGTTAGAACAGCAAATCGTTTACCGGCAACTTCTCATTACACGGAACTCTGTACAACAACAACGTTACACGCCGCCTGTAGTTCTGCAGATTCAAAGTCTAAAATTCAAAACCAACCACCAACGCATCAACCGCTACTTTATGAGAATGTGACGATCAATCAAAAAGACTGCACTGTACCGTATGAGAATATCAATCTAGAGTATATAACACGGCTGATGAGTGAGGGCTACTCGAAGGAGAACGCTATAACGGCGCTTGGTATCTCTCGCAATAACATCGAAATGGCTTGTGATATACTTCGCGAGTTTGTAGCTAAAAATACTGTATAAGATAATAGATGCGTCAATCCCTCACCTTGTTCTTCTGCCATTTACTAAGCACTGCTTGTAACCGTCAGAGGTACCTGGTTGTGTGGCTATGCCATCATTGTGATTGCAAAAACAAAAACAAAAACAAAAAAAAAAAACAAAAACAACAAAAATAATTATTAAAAGTCCCAATATTTAAATTTTTATTACTTCACATTTTTAAAGAAAAAAATTTGTAGAAATCACTTATAGAGTTTACAAAAGATCCACAAAACTACGCCCATTACTGAAAAGCAATCTGGAAAATATTTATATATATGTTTACATACAAACATATTTAAATACTAATTCTTTATATTATATAAAATTAATATAAGCAAATGAAACAAGGCAAAAGGCGTGTTGTAAGAAAATCAAAATATTTTCCCACACATAGCATTCTACTTTAAACTACTTTTAACAAAATTGTCAAGAAATCGATTTATTTATATATGTATCTCACAGGTTTTATCGATTTTAATTATTAATATATTTTTTTGATATTGTATATTGAAAATAAATACCTCTTAGTTTTGTAAAAGCTTAGGGTTAAAAGACGACGATAAGCCGACGTACTAAAAACAACAAGTTCACAGCTTAAACATAGTATTGGTACTTCTGAAAGATAATGGTGTGCAATAATAAAGCTAAAAGTTCATCAAACATACTTTATTGGAAACCATCATACAAAAGAATGTCTTATCTAAACTTAGATTAATTTCATTTAAATCAAACTGACTAATTGTTAGTGATTTATAAACATTAGACCGCAGTAAAAATTTTTAAAGCAATACGACAAATTAACATTGAGATATTTCTCATTTAGTAATCCATATCAATCGGTTTTATAGACAAATTATATACTCTGTACCAGGGAAAACTGTCGATCAGATTACGTTTCCAATACTAATCTTCAATAACAACAATCCATAATTATAAAAACCATAGTTCGTAAATAATTTTATCAAAACAAAAAAAACTTTTGCTGAAAATCGAAAATGGTTTGCGGTTTGAGACTTCTCAGTAAACTTCTGAAAAGACACCAAAAGTTATCGATAACTTATAACTAAATAAAAGTACTAATAGCTCTGTTGTGGTATTCGTGATATTAGGTCTAAAACTGCAGGATCAAAATAATTAAATACTTTAAGATGTGTTCACTATTGCTTGCCGTTGTTAGCATGCTATAAATATATTACGTAATACCTATGTAGATGCCTAAGAATTAAGTAGGTATGCCCCGGATTTAAGACACACAAAATAACTGAGTAATAACTAATGATTTTACTCAACCGAAACACAGTTTAACAATGTATGCCGTTTGATCGGTAATTATTTTATATATACATATATATGCGCCTATAGCCTAACCCCCCGATACATGAACGTAAAATGTAAGCAAGAATTTATATTCCAAGTAATTATCCAATTCTTCATGTACTTCAAATATACGAAAAATAATAATTTATACCTTATAACCATAATTATGTTTTATTTTATAATCATAGACTTTAAATAAGCGACTATACGAATATATATTTCCATAGCCATGTCATAAACAACAATTTAAGCAGATACACAATTATTCTTATAAATAAAATATTTATTAAAAATATGCAGTCCGCTTTTTTCTTAAATATTTCATTTAATACGTAAGTATGCGTCAATACGAGAATATACATATATTCTATTATACAATAGTTGGATTCATTATTATATGCAGCGATGTACTGTGGAGCCAAATGAAAATCGGAATGGTGTCCTATCTGAGAAATTGAAAATAAATTAAGACAATGTATACGGTAAGTGATCTTAGTTCGTTTTAAAAGTCTAAATCTAAATCTAAGAAACATCCGTATTAAAACAACGAATAAAATGAGTCACATCCACTGTTTTCTTTCCAATATAATTTTTTATAGACCCAAAGATCTTGCATTTCCTTTAAAAAACTCTTAGTTCTGATTTATAAAGTCAGTTATGACAAAAAACAATAAATAATGTCCTAAAATTATTTTCGAAAACTGACAGACTTACCAACACTGCGTTATGAAATCTCAGAATGGGTACAGTCTCCTCGGGGAGGTATGCAGATCTGGGGTCAAATATTGCTTAGTCAAGGCGTAAAGAGGGGTTTTGAAAATACCCTGAGTTAAGAAAGAGTAAAAGTGCTTAAGTGCTTTACATAATAAATAATGCCTCTATAAAAAGAATGCATTGCAATTTAATTATTACAAAAAAAAATATAATTAGTTATTACTTAACACAATTTAATAAGTGTAATTTTTTATTTAAAAAAATATTTATAATTTTGTGTGTTAAATAAATGACCTAAGTCCAATAACAATAAAAAAAAATAATTAGTTAATAAAGAGGTTTTCGAACAGAAGTGAAACAACAACAAAAATTTATTTTTTAAATTATTTTAATTAATTGAATTTTTGGCTGACCATACAGCTGTTTCGAGTATTGCCAAATACCCTTCATCAGTGGTCTTGGAAATAATTCTTATATTTAATTATTCGTAAATAATTATTTTTGAGACTGCAAGTACCAGGAATCGAACTCGGGTCCTGCCAAATGTGAAGCTCAGAATAATTAGTTAATTCAATTATTCTACAGCTGGTTTATGATTTCGTTCTAACACAACAAGTTAATTTGTTAATGAAACTCACAGAACATTAATAAAACTCCAAGATAGAACATGCAAGTCAAGTACGGCTGTGGATCCACTTGCATAGTTAACTTTGACTTTGAGCTTAAAATTTGGCAGGGCACAAGTTCAACTCTTGGTACTTGCAGTCTCAAAAAAATGATTTACGAATAATTAAATACAGGAATAATTTCGAGAAGACTACTAATGATGGATATTTGTCAATATTCGTAACAGCTGTATGGTCGGCCAAAAATTCAATTAATAAATAATAAAAATTTTGTGATTGTAATTCACTACTGTTCAAAACAACTCTTGCAACGTTAAATTTTTAAAATTTTACGTCGTTAATACTTTTTGTCTTAAATACGCGGCTAAGGTATGGATTTTCTTAAAGTATATTCATCAAGAGTTGATAATTGTTTTAATTTGTTTAAATTATATTACAAAACCACAAATTTGTATATCATCGAGGGGATATATCTCTATTAGCTTTCCTGGCTTCACTTACTACATGTATATTTCACTGAAGTGGGTCGAAGTCTCAAGACGGTGTACACAAAGGGTATACCACTTTCACGCGATATAAATGTTGCAACATATGTATATAACAGGAAAAAGTGTGAATCCGTCAAAAGCGTTCAAATTTCTACAGTATCCACATCGTGATAATCGATAAACCCGGTAGATGATACTGCAAATAACTGAAATATATAGAAATAATAAAGATATTATGGTGACTCATTACCATAAGTAGTAGAAGCTAGGATGAATGTGAATTTAATAATTAACTCACTAAAGCGCTTTGAGAATATATCTTATTATATTTTTGTATAACATCACAAATAGCAATGTACAAAAAATACCTGATATATCCGAACATAACGGCAACTCCAAATTTTCTCCACCCATCCTATCAAATGACACATAATCTATATTAACACTATAAGTCTAGTTAAGTACGGGAAAGGTGAACGCGATACAAATGTCATAGTCTCATATTATAAAATAAATTCTGAATATTATATGTAAATGAAATTATTTTCGTTTCAGAAGCTCAATTTCGTCAGATATATTTAAAACCTCATGCCATATCTTACTGCAACTTATTATACATAACCGCATCTTTTCCGGACAGGTATCCAATCCATGCTGCACTTTTATACCTTACAACATTCATCAGTTCAAGTGCTTTATAGCAATCACCTGAATCTAATTGATTTTTGACTCCTTTCCATCAAAACGGCAGAATTTTTGATATTGTTTTCATTTAAAGACATATTCTCTTTTGCTGCTCTTCTTAACTTATTATACTCCATTCAAACCCAGACTTTCTTCCCTATATCCCAACACACACTTCGTCGAAATATGGGACTATTTTTTTCTATTTTCACATTATTCTTATATGTTATATATGTATATCTCTATTCTTCCACATTTCACTATTCCTTTTCATTTCCTACCATTTATCTTTATAAGCTTTATTTCTTGCTTAGTATTCTTCCATACTTCCACATTTCTTACTATTCTTACTATGATCTGCTCAAAACAATGGGAGTTAAAATCGTGACTCTTATTATTCTGCTGATTTAATTAACTAAAATTGATTAATCTAACCATAAACTACGACAGCAATGTCTTCGCCCGTCAGTTTAATTTATATCGGGATTAGAAGTGATTCATATATGGAATTGGTAGCTTGCATCACCAATATTCCAATAGTTTTTCTGGTTTATATATAAATCTGTTAAGGCGTTATTCGATTTATTTCGAAAGCCAAACCATCAATAACAAGAGCATCACAACCCTACTATTAACGCATAACTATTTCTGTTCATACATATTTGGTTTTCGACTTCACACAACTCCCTATTCTAATACAGTATACGCAAGTAGAGCTGTTGTTCATTTTATTAAGAAAGGCCACACAACAAAGACAAATTACTTACTAAAAAAAGCTGAAATCGGTTTTACAATATATTTTGTTCTTGCGTCGCTGGTCTATCTTTATTAAAATTCACTATTTGATAAGTAATGTGCGATTAAATGCTTATCGACAAGCACTAAGAAATTACATAAACAACTTTTGTTCAAATTAATATCTAAAATTAAACAACCATTGTGTTAGTTATATATAACTACTTCAGACTGTCAACTACAAAATATATGAAATAATACTAGTACGCAAGTTCTTCCTAAATTAATATAGAATTATAATATTGTGGATTACCATATAATCTGAATATTCTATGTAGAGTAGTAGAAACGATCGTGATTACTATATAACCCATATATTCATTGAAAAGAAGAATTAAGTGCCTCAGATTTCAGATTTGTAGATTCTTAAAATTAAACAAGATAATCTAATATTGTATATTAATGAAGTATTTATTTTGTTTACTTATATAGTTTGCATTTTGTGTATTCAAGCACATTTTTCACATAATTCATATTTAATGTTTTGGTTAAACATCTCATGGCTATTTAGGACTGATCCCAGTTTATTATTAAATTGAAGTTCATCATAAATTGTTTTGGATAATTTTCTCTTTTACTTTTGTTTAGCGACAGTAAATTGTATTTACTGCAAATAATTCATTTAAAATATTTTATTTTAATGCAAAAATATATTTTGCGGTTTTTATTTTCATAACGCGTATACATGTAAACGTAACATAAAGCTAAAATAAATAATAATAATAAAATTAAATATTCATTTTTTAAAGCAAATAAAGGACAATATAAAAAAAAACCTAATAAAATCGCATTGACAAGTTTTGTGTTACCTTTTTTTTGTTTGTAATTTTTTTTAAGAATTAAGAATTTAAATTTATTTCATTATATTAAAATGTGTTTAGTGTTTACTTATTTTCTTTGTTTTTGTTACTATATTTTATATATATGTATTTAAATATTATTTTTGTAATTATTGTTGCATTTCGATACAAAGTTGTATTGCTGTAAGTTAAATTGCCAGTGTTGGCGAGCCAATTATTTAATTTATTTTTTAAGTTTTAAAATTATTTGTCTGTATTTTATGCTTTCAATTCTTATCATAAACTTATTTTTCAATGCATAAGTTTGACTAATGCAAAGACATTAATAAAATTTTGTTCACAATTCAGAGTTAAATAAAAATAAAATAGTTATATATATTTTATAGAGAATTAAATACTCAATATAGTAGTATTTTTAAACAAGTAGTTTTTTTCTTTTTAATAAATTCATGGAAAATTTTTTAATTGAAGTAGTTTGGTTAATTTAGAGTAAAATTGAAACTTCGCAGCAGCAACAATTTTTATTTTCACGTTCTCATATGTAATAACTATTTTAATAATAAATACTTTAATAAGTTTTAAGATGCGAATTTTTCCATCAGTGAATCTAATTTATTTGATTAATAATTGCATTTATATTCATTCAATTTACTCCACCAATATTCCTGTAAATAAGTAAAAAGTAAAAATAATACACAATTAATATATTTATTTATAATTTGTTTTATTGCTATAAACAAACCTGGAATGCGTGTAAAACGAGCTTGTGGCAAAAAGCCTTTTACTTGCGGGCCTTTAGGTGAGCGTATAATAATCAAGCGTGGTACACTATCATCAGCGTTGAGTTTTAGTCGTGAGATCAAACGATCGGGACGATCATTTATTTTAACCACATTGCAAGCAGATGACTTTCCATTTCGCTAAAAAATATATTCAAATTCAAAAATTAAATTTGCTTATTATTTTAACTATACATATTTATAGTATACATATTTATGTATGTATATAAACGTACCTGATTTGTGACAACAGAAAATTCGACTGTGTCTCCTGGATGTAGAGCTACAGCGCTACCTTGTACCTCCGACATATGGAAGAACAATTTTTTACCATCCTCAACTTCAAAATTTAGAAAACCGAATTGCCCTTTAATCGAATCAACAGTAGCGCGATTTTTTTGACGTACGGCAGTGACTTCGGCAGCGCGACCAGTTTCATCTATTTTGAATGTAACCAAATCACCTTTTTGTAACAAATCACGTTTATTAACTAAACTAGTTATGCCAAATTCATGCTTGGATATAACTGTTGCCTTTGAATCGTCAAATATCTCAATTAAACCAGCGTATTCCTGTTGATCGGGATTAATACAACGCAATGGTCGTGCAACCACGCCATTATGCACACCGTCGTAAACAATTGGCTGAGGTATTGAGCCCTTTGGCAATGTTCGCACATTTTCTGCTGGTAAGCAATTACCACTCACAGAAGTGTTGCCGGTTGGTGAAAGTGTATATTCCACTTCCTGACCGAGTTCCAACCAATTAGGATTGCCAACAAAATTACTAAAATGGAAAAATACTTCTTCATCATGGGTTAGAGTTTCAATAAAACCAAAGTTTTCTTTAATCACTGCTATAAAACCACGATAAGTTTGCCCAGTTTCATTGGTTGACAAATTATTATTGTCCATTTTATAATCTTCGATTTTTGGAGTAGAAATTATTTGAGTATTAGACATTTGCATATAACCGTTTTGCCTCTCTGGCATAATCATGCCATTATTTCCCAGTCCATTGGACATGATCATTTGCTCGTTATTTTGATTTTGCATGTGTTGCATGTTCGTTGTACTGTTGACCAAGTGCTGCTGTTGTTGCTGTTGATGCTGCTGCTGTTGCATCTGTTGTTGCATTTGATGCACTTGCTGTACGTTTACAGCAATTAATTCTTTGTTTCGTTTTACCTAAAATTTTATAAAATTAATATTAGAAGGTTTCTAATAAAATTTACTAAATAATAAAATATGAAGTATTTAATTACCAAGTATATGTCGAATCGTACACGATCTCCAATTCTTGGTGGTTTTTCACAGTCTTTAAGAAAATACATAATAGTCTTTTTGCTTTCCCCATGATCGTAAGTAATAACCCCGCCTTCTACGCGATCCTGTGATTTGACAGGACTTTTAGGAGCCTCTCGTGTAACGTATCCTAATAAAACAATATGGATGTATAGTTTTAGCTTTAATAAACATAATTGTTAACTTTGATAATTACCTTCTATATTGCTAGCCATTAAAGTTTCAAATTGCACAGTGTTTGGTGGCAAATGCTTGATACGTATAGCATGCAAGCGTGAATTGTTGTATGTAACTCCGGGTTCCTGAATTACAGTAAATTCTACCTCATCATTGGCTGCAATTTCCCGGGTCTATATAAATATTTATACGCATGTCAGAAAAAGAACATAGTTTGTTTGAAAGTATTGTTATCTTTACTTACTGTATCCAACACTTCAGTAAAGTGGAAAAATAAACGCACATTACGTTCAACGCAACGTAAAAATCCAAAACCTTCCTTAATTGAAGCTACTACACCTTGTTCACGCTTTTCTCCAGATACTTTAAATGTTTCATCAAGCAAAGAAATTGATGTAGCCCTCTGCAACTGATCTCGACGATCAGTAGCTAATAAAAACTGTACCCAATCGCCATGACGAAGCGTAAAATCTCCCTTCTATAAAACGGTAAGGTAAATCTTAACAATCAAATATTTTTTAGCATGATGATGTGTCTGCTTACCTGGTCTTTGTCTCCAAATGGTACCTCAACTTCAGAATAATCAGGAGCTCTGTATCGTATGCGTCCAGGTAAAGGATCATTGGTTTGGCGTGTAGGATTATTCCTATCTAAAGGTTTTAATACCTGGCCTTTATAAATTGTTGAATCGACATCTTCAAAAATAACTGAGCCTGGAGGCAAACGAGTTATATTGCAAGCATATTCTCGACCCTAAAATTGAAATTCAAAACTTAAGTAACTGTTGTTGGTGTATATATATATATAGTTTTTCACTAACATTGCGTGTCTGTATAGTAAACTCAACATCGTCTCCTGGACGCAATTCAACATTTCCTTCAGCTTCAGAAAAATGAAAGAATATCTCTTTAACAACATCTGCACGTTCAATAAAACCGAAGGATTCTTTCATGGAACATACAACACCTCGATATTTAACAGGTTGAGCGGGATTTTCCAAACGTATATGGCAAGCACCTAGGTTTCCTCTGTAATTGAATAAAATCATATTATTTAAATGAGTCATGAAAAAATCTTTTACAAATCTAATAGAATATTTTTTAAAGATCTTTATTTACCTTTGGTTAGTTGCAATCTGAAAGCTTACTTTATCGCCCGCACGTAAATTAACATTTCCCTCTACATCGTCTTTGGTATACGGTAAAAAGAAACACTCGCCACGATTCTCATAACTAATTCTGCCAGTAGTTTCGCTAGATATTAACAAATTATTTGCACAATCAGTACGTAACTCAGTAGTAACAGTACCGGTAACACGCTCTTCAGACAAAACCTTTTATTAAAGAAATAATCGTTAATTCTTAATACCTAAATGCATTAATGCAAGAATTAATTAGTAATTAACAAACTTACTACTTCCGGTGCAATTTTTGAGACCTGACTAGCAATTGGTTTTCCTGTACGACGATCATAAGTCATCTCAAACTCAACAGGATCACCAATTTTTAAATGATCTATGTTTCCACTAAATTGCGAGAAATGAAAGAATAAACGAGCCTGACGTTCACAGCATTGAATAAATCCATAAGAATGCTAAATAATATTAAATATAAAGTATAAGTAATTATATCAACAATTATTGTGTGTCACTACTAAAGTTCATACCAAGAGTTTTTCAATAATTCCAGTCTCACGAGTTGCTTGGCTTGGATCGTTATTAACCGAAGAAGAATTCGATTGCGAATTATATACGGATGAAGAATTTCCAGCTCCATTGCTAAGTACGCTATTCGACTGGAAAACTCCAATTGTTGCCGGGTTTTGTATAACATCAGGAACGTCATTGGAATCAAAAATGCCAATATTAGGATGTTGTTGTAGAGTAGGTCCCTGAGACTGTGGCGGTCCGCCAAGAGTTGAATCCAAGGTAAAGGTGCTAATGGGCGGGAAAGTTGTTGGAATGCTCAAATTCCGCATAGCATTCATGTTGAAAAAGCCGTCACAGGGCATATTATCATAAATTTCTAAAAAAAATTTGAGACATATAGTCACTTTTAGACGCATCACACATACACCTTTCTTATTGGTGGATGTAGCGAATATAAATAATTTAGATAACTAGTTATTTTAGTCACATAGTTACAACCAAAATTGAGAACATTAAATTTGAGGAACCGAACTAAGGACACATAGATAGATGTTGAAAGAAAGGAATTTTGAAAAATTTTAATAAACATCTCGACAATGTTTTTTTCTTTTTTTATTTTTTATTTTTTAAAAAAAATATGAAATTTAAATTTTGGAATATTAAATTAACATTTTCGATATGAATATAGTAAAATGCAATATTCTTAAATATGTATAACATTACAGGTTTTTGCTATTGTAACCATATGGGAAGTTTGCTTTCTGGGTTCTTTTTGAGAGTGATGAGCAACACTTGATTGTCTGAAAAGACGAAGAGCCCCGGGACGTAGACCCAAAGGTTTCTGGAATCTAAGTAGGGACAACAAAAATATCAGTCAGTAAAACAAATGTAAAATATTTTTACATGTATTTTAAAAGAATCCCGTTCGCAATTGTTGTTGTATACATAAAATGTCAAATATTATCTCATTTTCTTAAATACCTATGTGTGTCAAATATAGACTATATACGAATTTATAGTGTAAGTTTTTGTGAGACAGTAGTGCTAATTTGCAGTACAATACATTGCTTAACGCCTTTCATATATCGTATATTCTTTTCAATTTGAAATTTAAGAATATTTGTATTATTTGTTTTGAGAAATTTAATAACATATATGCATATTAACTCAATACAAACTGAGAGAGATATATATATACAATATTATACAAAGTAAATTTTAAAGCTAGAGTTGGGTTAGAATGTGTTATGATGGTTTAAAAAAATGAGGCTTAGATGACAGAGTTAATGTATGCTAGAATCACAAATTTTGCTATATCTTATAAAGACAGTTGGTCAAGACGGATGTCAAATCAATAATTAACTTTTCAATCTCTGGAACAAAGGCTGACCACAGAAAAAAAGAGACTAGCACGCAGTATTTTCAACATTCTCTATGGGCATTAATTAATGAGAAAGCAGTTAAAAATGCTTATCATATTTTAAAAGCTTGTAAGCAGCAAATGAATTAGTTTTGGTATAAAAAAAAGCAATCTTAAGGAACATATATGTAAACGACATGTTTCACAACATCAACAAAGCCATTAGAATAGAACAAAGGTAAGAAAAATTAGAGTTTGCCGGTATATATGAAGGAATCATTACATATAATTCAACTGTACTATAGATGCATATAAATAATTTGACTTACCTTCACCTGCACGATAGCCCTTTGACTGAGTATTCATCATGGATTGAAGTGTTGTTGTTATAGAAGTTTTAAGAATATTTCAAGAACTGTGTGGTTTTTGTGTTCAAGTTAGCACTTAAAGAATCTTTTAAATAATTATGTAGCGAATCCAGTAGAAGTTTGTGTACTAAATGCAAGTTCAACTGTTAATCTCTGAGGGAATAGAAGTACTCTATCCTGTGGTAATTAGCTATTTAATGCAGACAAATTTTGAGATATGGAAAAAACTTCACATTGGTTATTGGATGCGTTCAGGGATTCCCGAATGTTTAAACTATCGTCTGTTCCGCGTTTAACGAGTACGGTTTTGAGTTGAGGGTTTGCTCTTTTTAACAAAATCAAAGAGGAGTCTTTTTCTGTTTTATTTTATCGTAATGAGTAGTTTAGAGAATGTTTGTGGCACAAGTGTTAGAAGTATTACGTACTATTTTACATTTATTTGTTTTTTTTTATGTTTTTGTGATTATTAAACACTTTCGCGTCTTTTTTATCTTTGGAATTAAACCACAACCACGTAGAAGAGGTTGCGAATACACTTTTTGGGGTTTTTTTTTTTTGATTTGAATTTCGTTCAAAAAAAAAAATTTAAACAAATTAAAAGAAAAATAACAGCTAATAAAATATAGTATAAATTAGTGTGGCAATTGTATTAACGCCTTTTCTCAATTTTTCCAGACGTGTTGGCTTTTTATTTCGTAATCTTATTTTTTATATTAATTTAATAAGTTATAAAATATATAGGTATATTGTATTTTTAAAATTGTAATTTTTTTGTTTTTGTTTTTATTTTAGAAGTATTAAATTTAGTTGAAATGAAGTTACTTATAATTAATTTTTTTTTGTTTTATTATAGTGAAGATAGCAAAGTCTTTTATTTTTTAATTTTTGTTTTGTTTTGTTTTTTTTTTGTTTACGTATAACCTATGGTTTTAATTTTGTTTTGTTGCTTAGTATTACTTATAAGCTTATTTACTCTTATATAATATAATATAATGTAATATATAATATACTATAGTATATGTATCGAAGTCCTTTAAGATATCACGAATTTGTTTCAATGTTTCATTATCTTCATTTGCATTTGCTTTAAAGTTAATTTGCTTTTTTTCTTTTTATTTTTCTTCTTTTGTTTTTAACTTAAAATTAATTGTTTTCAGTGTTTATTTTGCTTATTTGTTTCTTTTTTAATTCACATATATTCTTTTCTTTCAGATTTTTTTTATTAATAATTAATAAATTTATAATAATTATCACAGAGATGTTAAATATTTCTTTGAATTTTTAAGTTTTTTTTTTGTTTGTTTTTTTTTCTTTTTCTTTTAAACTTTATGCATTCACACTATAGGTACACTTAAAGAGAGAACATACACATTCATCATAGGTCTGTCTTCGTTCCGTGTTAATAAGAGGTCCCGTCCCGTCCTACTAAACTAACTCTTTTCCACTCTCGTTTCTTACAGGCAAATACTAAATACTTTTAAATATTTTTTTAATTTTTATTTATTTAAATTAATAAACGTTTAATGTTGGCTTAGTAATTTTTCTAATAAAACTGTTGTTTACAATGCATTTGTGTGTTCATGTAAAATTAATTAAATTCTTTTTTTTTGTTTTGTTTTTTTTTTTACTCAGTTATATATAGTTTTTAATAGTATTACATGTATATTATTAAACTAATAAATTTATTAAGTTATTGTTTCCGTTAGTTTTGTTTATGTTTGTTTTTATTTCACACTCCTGCTCCTTCGTTGATATTGTTCTTGTGAGGTGAGAACTGATCCAGAGTAAGATCAACTCCTTTAAGGGGACAGCGAAAATCGCTAGCTCCTAGCTACTTTTGCTGTGTAGTATTTATAACACTTATTTTAAAATTATTTATTCATTATAGTACAAATCTTAATAATAAAGATATATGAATTATAATAATGTTTATGTTGCGTTTATTTATATAATTTTTTGTTTTTTTTTTTTTTGTTTTTTGGTTTCTTTTTAAATTTCTTGCTTTTAATATATATTTTATATTAGTTTTTTATTTGTTTTGTACTTTAAAACTTTACTTTTCAGTTGTTTGTTTGTGTTGCTGTGTTGAGTTTTTGCAGTTTTGCAGTTATAGCTGTTGTTTATGTTTTCTTGATTTTCTAATAACAACGACAGTGGGCGGGGAGATTTTTATGATTTGGTTAAATAAATATAAAAATATAAGTAAGATCCAAATGTTGCTTTTGGTTTCCGTTAAATAAAAAATTGAGGAATTTTGGGGACTTATTCGAGCTCCTAAAGAATTATTAAAAAAATTCACTTAAATTTTTGTTATTTTTGTTTTTGTTTTTGTAAAAATGTTGTGCTGTAGAATGGACTGGCTTTTTACTGGTGAAATTGCTGCAGTTGCAATTGTTGCAACTACTTTTAGTCTTTTATGTTTGTTTCTAGCGTTTGTGTTAAAATTCTTTTCTTTTTCTTTGTTGTTGTTGTTGTCGTTATTGATGTCCTTAGCTGAAGAGCTGGAGAGCTGCTAACTATGATCAATCAGTTTTCTTCAATCAATATTTATCAGGCTATGCCTAGTATTGCAAGCTGTAAATGCTAAAGCTGGCTGACGTTGGTTTGTTGTTGTTGTTGTTGTTGTTGTTGTTGATGTTGATGTTCTATCCGTAATGAGTATTTTAAAGATATGGGGGGTTTTACGTAGAATTTCAACGTATATCTCTGTTTTGTTTTCACAACTTTTTTAGGACTTTCGTCAAAAGCTTTGCTTGATTGACTATTGTTTTGTTTCTACAACCGAACGGCAAGCTCACGCTAATATCCGTAAGGAGCAGCCTTATTAAATTTAAATAGTTTTATTTTTCTTCTCACTTTATTATTTTAATATTTCGCACTTTTTTCTTTTTTCTTTTTTCTGTTGATTATTTGATCTTTGGAATTGAAAATTTTTATAATTCAAAATTTAAATAAAAAAATTGGAGTAGAATATCTCCTCCGCAACTTCCTCCTGCAATGCCTGTTTTGAGCTTAAGGTATTGGTTATTATTAAATTTTTCAACTTTTGATTTTTTATTCGTTTTCGATGGTGTTATCAGATTATGATGAAAGTAGTGTGATGTCAAAACGGAGTTTTAGTTACAAAAGCTAAAAAAAAAAAATCAAAAATGGTTATTTTTATTATTTATATATAATATATTTATTGTTAAGCAAAAAAAATATTATATTATTACTTTAATATTTGCATAATTATAAAATTTTATTTTATGAATAAATTTAATATAAATATTATTATTATAATAGTCTACATACATTTCAAATGTATAAGTTTGCCTACAATAATATATCGACAGGATAAGGTTTCGCAAAATTGATATGGGCTAGAAAATATTTAAAAAAAGTGCATGACACGAATTTTATTTTTAGTAAAACAAAACAAAAAAAAATATCTGAATTTTCTTCATTTTATTTATAATGAAAAGCGGTTTTTAATATTATTCAACTGAAATATATATGTATATAACAAAATTTTCTTTAACATTTAGTTTGTATAAAACTAAAGGCAACAAGATGGAGAAAGTCAGCACACTTAAAGTGAAAGTACCAAGCTTTTGCCGCACAATCTTTTAAAATGAATGCACCAAATCTTAAGAAATGCAACATATAGATTATTTTAAAAACAAATCTAAAAAGAAAAAAATAAAACTAGCAGTAAACACCTAACAACACAGTTTCCAAAAATTTGGCACAAACTCAATACTGCAATAGCACAATTAATAGAAACAAAAATAATTAACAAAAAAAAAATTTAAAAAAATTCAGTAATATCTCAACAGTTCGATTAGTGAAACTTTATTTTTATAAAAACAAAAACATCACAAATTTGTTTGCATAATACAGCATTTCCCCTATTTGAACAAAAGAAAAATTAAAACTTAAAATGTAAATCCTTAAAAATTTTGCACATATATTCTTTGCACTCCTCTGCCATTAAATGCTTCAGGCAACAACAAAATCCGTTGCACACGATTTCTATACCCACTACTGCATTATTGATTTTTTAATGCAGCGCCCCTCCCAGCACCTAATCTAAAACTTGCAGCAAGACAACGGTAGCGGTAACCGGTCGTATACATATTTACCACTTTTATATACATATATTTCTCGCAAAAATTTTATGCAAATAATGTATTTACTAATATAAACATTTCATAGCAATTGCTGAATTTCAAATATTTGCCAAAAAAAATTTTGACGCTGCGCCGACGATTGTAGTGAAAATTTTTTCTAACGATGGCAGGCAAACAGTAGATTAACAATTAGTTTCGCAAATCGTTAAAACGCACAAAACAAGTTATTTAATGTATTATTATAGTATCTACTGCAGTTTAATACATTAATTTATTAATTTTTCATATTTTTTTTGCCAATTGATGCAATTTGCGGGCATTTTAGTTAAACTAAAAAAATTTTACACATTTTATACGTACCCACAGCACAACACTGACGACGCCATATTGCATTTCGCATATCAATTTACCGAATACATTTAATGCAGGGTTGCTTTTAAAAAGTAGTTTTTAAGTGTTTTGGAAGTTTTTTTTACAAGAATGCAATTTTGAGTATATTGTCAAGAGATGTTTTAAATTTCATATTATATTATTATTATTATTTAATTTATATAATATTTTCATGTAAATAAATTGAATTAAATTGTGAATTGAATTGGATTAAAAATATGTATATATAAATATAATAAAAACCTAATAATTTTCATATATTTTACATAACAAAAAATTTACTTACATATTTCTTATAAGCACACGTCAATACAAATGTAAACAAGAAAAACTATAAACAAAACGAAATGTCATATCGCCATTTTCATTCCAAAAACTTATCGATAACGCCACAAATTTAGCACTGTTTTCAGGAAAAGGTATTAAATGAAGTCAACTTTCACTCAAAGTTCGAAGTTTGTTGTGCCTATTTTGTGTGGCAAAATCAACATTGGTTGCTGATTTTGCGCTTAAAGTCGATTCCAGCCAGCAAAGTTCGTAATGTAAACATAGTATAAGCAATAACAACATACATACAAATTTCATAAAAATTGTATATATATATATATCATATATCTATACAATGTGTATGTATATAATATATTATTCGAAATTTTTTTATCGGCATGTACATATATGGTTGACCATATATGATAAGTTGTGGAAAGGAACAAATAGTTTTTCATCATATTTTCATTATGTTGAATATATAAACATATATTCCACATATATATTATTATGTTGTATATAAAATATAATTAAAACTGTGTACGCTACTTATATACATTTTTCTACGATCGCACTCTTAAAGAGTTATATATTCTAATTATAACAATATATGGTAAATTCTTTTAAAGTACGTAAAAGCATATAAAACAATTATTTCAAAAGTCAAGAATATATGCTTCAAATTTAGGTTTTCCTATAAGGGCCCACATTTATAATACACAAAGAACAAACATATTTAAATGTTGCATGTTCGTTCTTAGCTAATTGAACTTTGATGTGTTATTTACATACTCCTTTCTATTTGAGTTCTTATTTACAAACATTTGATTTATATAATTGACGATTGCCATTGTAGTAGTTTGCACGTTTGTCAAATTTTTTATAAAAAATATTGATTGTTTGCTCCAAATAAGGAAAAAATGAAATAGGACTCGTATTTTCTTATATTTTAAAAAATATTCCGAGAAGAACTTGTTTAAAATTTGATAGATTGAAACAGCTGCTTTATTCCGTCAATTGCAAATGTTGCCTGTAGGTATACAAAGCACTAACAATAACTTTTACATTTTATTTAGCACCGGGGCCGATTAAATTCGGTTTATATTGCAAACTTTTTATATAGCTTTTACAGTCAGTTATACGATTTAATAAGCATTTAACAGTATTTTTGATTATCTTTTGATTTGCTGTTTTGATGTATGAAATATAAAATTGCTCATCAAAATTTATTATTAAATTTAAAATGTCATTTAAGACTGTTTCATGAATAAAATTAGAAAAACATTTTCAGATAAACATTAGAGTGCTACTTCTTTTGCAAAACACAAACATTTTTCAGATTTACTTTATGAAATATATATATATATCGTTTAGCTATCTATGAATGCTTATCAACCGCAGTAATGTCTTCTGTTGAAACTCACATAACTATATTATTAACTATATATTAATCTAAAATATATTGTCTTCTGTTAAAATCCACATTGCCAGTAATCATTTTTATGCTATTTTATAGATATAGACATCTGTCCGTTTTATCGCAAGCTTCGCAATATACATTGAACCTCAGTAAAATTTAAATATGTACAGTGGTAAAACTATAAATGTTTTTTTTTACTCCACATATGAATTTAAATGACCTAAACTAACTAATATTATTAACTAATATTTTTAAACACCTAATGTAAAAAATTCCGAATTAATATCAACCTTAACTCACCATTTATGGTAGACCAAGAAACTATGGCAGCACATGATGTCTTTACGTTATATAGATATGGATCGTCTAATTTATAGGAACTGTATATGTGGATTAACAAAAATAATTTACTCTACTCAAAAGTTGTTACAAAGCGCTCCATTTTTATATTAATATATTAACCATATATGAAACAGTTCTTAGTTCAGGACAGTTTTTTTCATATCTAAGTCAATTATCTTAATTTAATGTCTAATGTCTAATATCACAAATGTAAACCCTATACGATTGTCAATTGACTGGATTTTTCATTAGCAAATCATAAATCAATAAAATACTCACTGCCATACCAAATAATAAAATTTTTATACTAATTTTTGACATTTGGGTTTTCAAAATGATGTAAATTTATTTTTAAAAACATGTATTTCTTTTTCAAAATGTGTTAAGTCACGAAAAAATTCATTCTGTGTGACATAGATGCGGCAACAGCTTTTACCTGCTTCTTAATATTTTTACAGTGTACCTACAGATATGTCAAGTCAGCTGTTCGTCACTCATGGCAGAGTTTTCAGATTTCACCATCCAAATTTGTTAAAAATAAGAAAACATCAATATTAGCGCCGGGTTAAAGGAAGTCGATTTTTATGTAATAACCGTTGTATAATATATTTTATATAATAGTTTTTAAAAATAAAAAGAGCACACTGCTCTGATTAATTGGGTGTTAAGTAATCTACCGGCCGAACTAGTCAAAAATGGCATACCGCCTTCTTAGTACGGCCAAACTGCTAAATGGCTGCTTGCGACGAAGTTATATGTCAACTAAGATGTTAGCAAAAGAGGTAATAATTACTTGTATGCTGTGTGTCACATAATAAACACTGTTTGACGTTTACTAGGTGTCATTTCGAAAGACTGAAAATACGATAGTCATAGATTTGCCGTTTCTGAAGTATATTATAGAGCGTGTGCAGCTGTTCTGCAATAAACCTCCTAAAGGATTCGAGAAATATTTTGAAGCAGGTAAAAAAGGTGCTGCCGCTGGTAAGAAAGCTGCAGAAAAAGCTGGTGAAAAGGCGAGTGAAGTTGGAAAATCGAGTCCACAAAAACCTCCAGCAGAAAATAAAAGCGATTGGAATTTCGGAATGTTCACTAATCCAAAGTCTAAAGGTACAGGAGGCGGAGGGTCAGGGCGGCCATCTGGTGACGCTGGTGGGGGAGATAAGGAGAGATGGTTAATCTTAGGTGCAATTGGTGCTGCTGTTTTGATAGGTAGCTTGACTTTCTTTGAAATGGGTTACAAAGAAGTTTCTTGGAAAGAATTTGTTAATGGGTAAATATATAAAATTAAATTTTATTTGATTATTTTTATAATTACTTTTTTTTGTGAATTGATTTGATTAAAGTTATCTGAACAAGGGCATTGTTGAGAAACTTGAAGTCGTTAATAAAAAATGGGTACGAGTACGATTACAGCCAGGCAATTCGCAGGAATCATCAGGTGTGCTGTGGTTCAACATAGGTAGTGTAGATTCTTTTGAGAGGAATTTGGAAAATGCACAAGTAGACCAGGGTATAGAGAGTGTCAATTTTGTGCCTGTTATTTATCGAACCGAAGTCGAAGCTTCTAGCTTATCCGGGTTACTACCGACCTTATTAATTATTGGATTTTTGGTGTATATGATGCGTCGATCAGCGGATATGATGTCCGGTGGTCGTGGTCGCAAGGGTGGCGGTTTGTTTGGTGGCGTAATGAACTCAACAGCTAAACTGATTAATTCTAATGAAATTGGTGTACGCTTCAAGTAAGTTAACATTGTGGTTTTGATATTTTAGTTTCGTTCTACAGTTAATGTATATTTATGACATTTTAGAGATGTAGCTGGTTGCGAAGAGGCAAAAATTGAAATCATGGAGTTTGTAAACTTCTTAAAAAATCCACAGCAATATATTGACTTAGGTGCGAAAATTCCGAAAGGCGCAATGCTTACTGGACCACCTGGTACAGGAAAAACAATGTTAGCTAAAGCAACAGCTGGTGAAGCAAATGTACCTTTTATAACCGTTTCTGGTTCTGAATTCTTGGAAATGTTTGTTGGTGTTGGTCCTTCTCGAGTGCGGGATATGTTTGCGATGGCACGAAAACATGCACCTTGCATATTGTTTATTGATGAAATAGATGCTGTTGGTAGAAAACGTGGCGGAAAATCGTTTGGTGGTCATTCTGAACAAGAAAATACACTTAATCAGTTGTTGGTTGAGATGGATGGGTTTAATACCACAACAAATGTAGTAGTGCTGGCAGCTACAAATCGTGTAGATATACTGGATAAAGCTTTACTTCGACCTGGTCGATTTGATAGACAAATTTTTGTGCCTGCTCCCGATATCAAAGGTCGCTCGAGTATTTTCAAAGTACATTTAGAGCCATTGAAAACTGATGTGAACAAAGCGGAATTGTCACGCAAAATGGCAGCACTCACACCTGGTTTTACTGGTGCTGATATCGCTAATGTATGCAATGAAGCTGCACTTATAGCAGCGCGTGACTCACACAATTCCATTGTATTGAAACATTTCGAACAAGCTATAGAACGTGTCATTGCAGGTATGGAAAAGAAAACAAATGTGTTGGCACCTGAGGAAAAGAATACCGTTGCACATCATGAAGCTGGGCATGCTGTTGCTGGTTGGTTTTTAGAGCATGCGGATCCATTGTTAAAGGTATCAATAATCCCACGTGGTAAGGGATTGGGTTACGCGCAGTACTTGCCTAAAGATCAGTATTTACTTTCTAAGGAGCAGTTGTTTGATCGCATGTGCATGACACTTGGTGGACGCGTGGCCGAAGAGCTTTTCTTTAATCGCATTACAACTGGTGCGCAAGATGATTTGAAGAAAATTACAGACAGTGCATATGCGCAAATTGTACGGTTTGGTATGAACGAAAAAGTAGGTCAAGTCAGTTTTGACCCAGGACAATCTGGCGATCCCATGTTCACAAAACCTTACTCTGAAGATACAGCACAATTGATTGATTCAGAGGTGCGTACATTAATAAAAAAAGCACACATACGAACGACAGAGCTTCTACAAAAGCATAAAGATGATGTTGCTAAAGTAGCGGAACGTTTGCTTAAAAATGAAATTTTAAGCCGTGATGATATGATTGAACTGCTCGGCCCGAGACCTTTCAAAGAGAAGTCAACATATGAAGAATTCGTAGAGGGCACGGGGTCATTAGAAGAAGATACAGAATTACCAGAAGGCTTAAAGAGTTGGAACAAATCAAAAGATAACGAACAACCAACATGTCCGTCGGACCCAACACCCCCACCAAAGTCTATACCAAAACCTGTGGCGTAAGATGCGAACCTTTAAACTCAATCACACTATATCTGTTATGTAAGTCATAACTAGTGTTTTTTTTTTGTTGAGACTACATGGTACATAGTTCTAGCCTTAAATTTAATTATCTGCGTTTAATTGTACATAAACGATTTATGTATAAGTACGTTCGACACTTCAAACGAAATTTTGCAGTTGTAATAAAAATTAAAATTTGTTTACAAAGTTTCATGTTTCAATTTTTTTATGATTCAGTTGTTACCTTTAATTTGATAATAAAAATAAAAATGTATGTAATCTATTTTGGTACAATTGATGAACTAATGAGCAGTGGTGTTTTCTGAGTTAATTTACACGATTTGAATTTTATCTGAAGTCATTTTCTATTCCAGTAATGTCTCAGTAGTTACCTTCTCTCATTTTGACACTACTATAGCTCCCATTATAGTGGATGTGTATTGAGTTCTAATATCTGATGGTAACTTTTAGCGCTGTTAGTATTTGAATAATTCTAAATAATAATTAATAAGTTTTTATTAAATATTTGAAACTATTTGAATACTGATGAAGATTAAATAATTTTAATATTTTAAATTATATGTGCGTCAAGTAGTTTCAAAGTGGAATGGTATTCAATTAATATTCTCATATGGTTTTACTATTAAAATGATGTTCAAAAGATGAATGAATAATAATAATAATTTATGAAAATTCAACTTTAGTTTATGCAAAATTCCTTTGCACGTAGTTAGACCTTCTACGTTCCCTTTTTTAGCATTTTCGTCCAACATATGAATTTAGTATTTTCTTAACATGATCATTTCTGTTGCGTTCCTTTAACAATGTCCAACTTTTAACAATTCCTGGCTTGTTATCTTGACATCTTTATAATGATGTTTTCAATAATCACCTACAGAGTTCTTTTTTGGTCAGTAATTACTAATTAGCAACAACATCCTTCCTTCCTCTACTCACTTGTTTCCAATTTTGGCTTAGACATTTTTGTTGTCTGAAAACTGTCTTCCTAATATTTGCCTTTCCCTTAATTACTGGAATGAAATTTCAGCTTAAGTCTATTTTGCTTTCCTGAGAGAAGGTTTTAGTGGGTTCAATTCTCACACTTGCTTTTCATGTTTTCCATCTACAGAGAAAAAAATGGGTGATTTATTCGCTTGGAGTACTTATTATATCTTGTTTATATCTTGTACATATATATGATTATTATCACTTTATTAATAAGTGTACTTTAATTATTCTAAGTCTTTGATTGTGATTTGTATTGTATTGTGTTTTTTTATTGCGGTGGGCTAAATTATTCTAGATCGTGACCTAAAGGATCTATTGTTACCACCTGTGGGGAAAGTCTTCTACTCCTAATCAGATACGGAGTGTTATTCTACAGGTCACGTTAATTCTACATCGTGACCAAAGCGATTTATTGTTACCATTTGTGGAGGAAGTCATTTACTTTTAATAGGAGAAATGTTGCACTTTTTTGACAGGTTATCAGATTATAAGGCTGTTTTTCTGTAAGGACGAAATATCTATTAAATTATCTAAATTTTAGATAAAGATGGGATAATTATTACCATCTAATAATTATTTTCAGGATTGATTTAGTTTTTGTGTTTTTATATCTTGAGGCTTATTGCGAAGAATGTGGAATCAATTCGTCAAAAAATGGCTATTTCAGTACAGCGGAAAGTTATCTGCCACTGCAACGAATTCATGTTTCTTTGTTTTAAAATTCTATGTCTTCTTTGGCTAAATTTTATTCGAATAAAAATAAAAAAATATTTATAAACAAAATTGTAACTTATAATAAAAAGTCTAATAAATTGTACAAAGTCTGTTTGTACAAAGTCACTATACAATGCTCAATACAATGCCGGTAGTGCAGTTCTTAGGCTACGAATTAAAAATAATAAATATAATAAATTAGAAAAATAATAAATACTATAAGATGTCGCAAATCGCTCTTAAATTTTTTTTTAGCTTTTTCCAAAGTAAACCATCATTTCTTGATGCTATACTCGTATATATATGTATGTATTGTTTTTATGATATTAACAGAAATTTATACATTTCTGCTTAAATAAATAAATGCATTCAATATGCATTTGATCACTGCTGCTTATCTGGCGGCAAAAGAATAGAAATTTTTGAATATTTTTTGTTTACACAAAGCTATACAAAGCTCAATACAATGTCGGTAGTGCAGTTTTTAAGCTATAAGCTTTTGCACAGTCAATAATACATTATCTCTTTGAAGTTGACTTTGACTCTTAGAGAATAGTTGAACTCAGGAAAGCTCTTCCAAAAATCACGACTGCATTCGCGCAGTTTTTTACAATAACAAAAAATAATAACAACAAATCTATTTTGTTATCAGCTGCATTTTGCAGTCGAAATCAAAGCAAGTGAATTCCCAACAGAAAGGGCAGACTAACTACTGCGGAGCATGTTGGCCTAACATGTCCGTTGGTGCTGCTTTCGACGTAGCCGCATTTGAAACCAAGAGTTTTCTACTGTGCCGTGCTGTGCTGTGCTGTGCAGTGCTATGCCTTCAGTTTTCAGTTTTTAAGTTTTTCAGCTTTAGTATTGTGTCGGTGGTTATCGCGAGCGTTTGTCGTTCGCAGCGCATTTTTGCATAGAAGCAATACCCTAGAAATAATTTAGTTAAAAGATAGTCAAGCCGTTCAACGACATAAAAACAAATCAAAATTAGTGCATTCGTTAGTGCCGCGGAGTGCAGCAGCCGCTAAATAAGTTTTTTATTGTTTTTTATTGCAATCATTTTGTAATTTTGACAACTGTGCAAAGTAAAAGTACGTCGTAACAAAACTAAAATAAAATGGAGAAATAAAAAAATTAAAGTAAATATTAATTTCAATTTAAAATAATATATAAAATATATGTCAATAATAAATAAATAGTTCTGCCTGTTTGCCTGTCTGCCTGCCACACACTCCTCTCCAAGACGCTCCATATTATCTACTTTGTGTGCGGATAGAAAAAAAATCGGCCTGCACGACGTTACCTCACCTCGAAACGGCTTAGTGCATTACGAATACGTCTTTAGGTTTGATGTTGTTGTTGTTGTTGTAGTTGTTGGAATTGTTATTTACTTTATTGTTTACGTTGCACTGGATACCGATGCCAACCGTTATCCACGCGGCAAGGGCTGCGAGCTTATTGCCCCATAAGCGATTGTGTTTTGGAAGTGGGTGGTGTTTGGGTGCAAGTTCTGATGAAATTGCAACTTAATTCAAATGAAAGACTCACGCGAGAAATTGCTTCGCAAAACGGGAAATAAACCGTCTAGAAAGACAACGCAAAAACTTTTTCTCATATTTAAATGAAAAAAATAATTTTTTTAAATTCTCGTAATATTTAAATTTCAATATTGTATAATTTATTTAAATTTTTTTGTAATTTCAAATTAAATAATTAAAATCCCATGTAGTGTAAAATTATTGTTCCATGTATTGCCATTGGGTAACTCTTGTCTGACTTTGTTCTTTCATATTTGATCTCCAATATTTTATTTCAATCCATGCAAATATCAAATAAGTTAACTTTAAGATAAATGAAGTAAATCTCTACATTCAAAAAAAAAAAAAATCATTTTAAATAAGTTTAAGTGCATTAATTGTATGTGATTATATTAAGTCACTCGAGGCTGTTATAGATTAGCAATGATTTCAATATATAGCAATTATTTCAATTACTGAACTTACTTCAATATGTATTATTCAATATAATTTAATATGACATAAGAGTCAGTGACTCCATATAATAGAAACTAACACATACAAACTATTTTTTTTTTTTTCATAAATCGTTTGTTTTTGTGATACAAAATTCTATACATATTTGCAAATATGTACATATAAATATAAATATTTATGTAAAACTATTAAGATATTTCAGTAAAACACTTGTTGCACGTTGTTAACTATAATAACTCTACCATAGAGCAAAAATGATCTATCCAATAACGGTCTACCCGTTTGAATTAAAAGTGCCAAAATATTAAAATTTCAATACAATACATTCTATTAACGCCTCGTCATTATTATAAAGTTTTATATTTATAAATTGTTTTTATATATAAATTTGAATTCTATATTTTTAGTGCAGTTAACCAGCACTGCTTTGCGTAGTGTTTTTTTTTGTTTTTTTTTTTTTTTGATTCTGTTAGTAGGTAATTTTTTTTTGAGGAGTTGACATGCTTCATGTACTGCTAAACAGACCGTCTTCGGATTGGTGTTCCCGATTCCATAATATATTAATATGTAGTTAACAGACTAAAACATCCTCTTATTGGAGAGACTTATCTCCCCCAGAACTGCTTTCGCATTATTTTGGGGAGGGTATATTTTATGTTTGCATTTTAACCATGTTCTTCTGATTTACGCGCAGCGTTTAGAAGTCTACTTTTTCACCGCATTTTTGTTGTTAGATGTCTGCTCTATTTAATGGCCTAGTTTCTATTTCTACATTCTAGGTCCATTTTCTTCGCTTTGAGTTCTTTGAATTCTCTGAATTCAGTTCTCTGAATTCGTTCTTACTTATATTATCTATATTATGAAGATATTTAACCATATCATCTATATAATCAACTAAATTTTCGGGATTTATTGTCCCCATCCGGATTTGTATATCTTCTTTTAATGTAAGCTACTTATCACAGAAAAAGAAGGTGTGCTCTACGTCATTAGGTGGAACTTTGATTCATGTTTATTTTAATGTATGTATAAGCTGTTAAGTTCCGCACTGCCTACATGAGAGAGTGAAATTAAAAGGCTTATTGCGTAGTTCACATGCAGTGAGATATTTCCAAAAAATGACTTTATTAGGTTTCTATGTGAGTCTAGCTTAATAGCAACTTTAGATTGATTCGCAAAGTAATCACATAGCTTTATATGTACATGGTTTTGTTAAAATATAAGCTGATTTTAATTCAAAAGTACTGATATTGTATATTGTACTTACATGTATTTCACACGTATTAAAATGAAATGTGTGAGACATAAGTTACGAAAACATTTCAGTTACTTAGATAATAATTTTTTGGTACTGAATTGAAAGACTATGGCGGTATTATTACTTTTATATAATATTAACTACTGAATTTTTTATGATATTTCCTTTGGAAACATTGGTATATGGTTCTAATGAAGAGCACAGTTTAATGTGTTTACGATGTAATACCACATGTTC